TCTCTCTCTCTCTCTCTCTCTCTCTCTCTCTCTCTCTCTCTCTCTCTCTCTCCTATCTCAGTAAAGGATGCTCAACATCTGTGTGACATAAGAGATCATTTAGCTTCTTCCCATGTAAAGGTAAATCACCCGAATACAATAAAGAGCTTCTCACAGAAACCTTGATACCAGAAGATGAGGGGAATTCCTTCATATTCCAGAAAGGCCAACACGGGCACATTATAGAAACAGACCAAGAGATCTGAAGAAGGAAAAAAAAAACACAACAAGACACAGAAATGGCATCTTGTTCCCATTCTTGCCACTCAATTACTGTTTCTCCTTCGGGCTTTGAATTTCCTTTTCTAAATGCCTGCGGCCTTAACTATTAAGAAGATATGAATCCATAAACATGATCTTCCTGGGATTTTCTAGTGGAAATTGTCATGATGTAAGAGTTCTTCATTAAAAAAATACATATGAAAGACTTAATCTTTTTTTCTCTGACCATTTCCTCAGGGGACCCATTGAACATTTCTGTTATTTTTATTTCTCAGTCATAAACAGCATGACTCTGAACTTCTGTAAGTTTCAGAGTCTCCTTGTCTTCATCCTTCATGTTAATATAGGACCCCATTGCTCTAGACTGGAATTAAATTGGTATACAACTGTTTTGGGTATTAGGTGGTTTAGTTATCCAGTTTCACCTAAGTCATTTTGCAAGATGGATATAAAACAGCTTGGGCAGGGGCGCCCGGGTGGCTCAGTCGGTTGAGCGTCTGACTTCGGCTCAGGTCAGATCTCGCAGTTCATGGGTTTGAGCCCCGCGTCAGGCTCTGTGCTAACAGCCCGGAGCCTGGAGTCTGCTTCGGATTCTGTGTCTCCCTCTCTGCCCCTTCCCTGCTCAAGCTCTTTCTCTGTCTCTCAAAGATGAATAAACGTTAAAAAAAAAAAAAAAAATTAAAAAAAAACAGCTTGGGCATATTTGTATTTGCATGTTTATTTTTTGAGCTATGCATTTCATGAGAAATTTTGTAGTTTTCTTGTGTTTAAACTTTCTGTTTTTCTCTTACATCTGTGTATTTTGATGACTTGGAGCAGGTAGCATCTAGAGGGAAGAAAATGTTCCTTTTTTTCTGATAGAAGCTAAGAAGAGTTATTCTTATCCTGAGTTCCTTGGCATTAAAATATCTCTGGGGGCGCCTGGATGGCCCAGTGGATTAAGCTTCCAGCTCTTGATTTTGGCTTAGGACATGATCCCAGGGTTTTGAGATCAAGCCCCGCCTCTTTCTCTGCTGGGTGCGGAGACTGCTTAAGATTCTCTCTCTCCCTTTCCCCATACCTGACTGGTGTGCACATGCGCGCTCAGGCGCTCTCTCTCTCTCTCTCTCTCTCAAAAAGTATTGGGGTGCCTAGGTGGCTCAGTTGCTTAAGCATTAGACTCTTGGTTTCAGCTCAGGGCATGATCTCATAGTTGGTGAGTTCGAGTCCTGCATCAGGCTCTGTACTGGCAGCATGAAGCCTGCTTAGGTTGCTCCCTCCACCCCGCCGCCCCACTCACACTCACCACTCTCTCTCTAGAAATAAATAAACATTTTTTAAAAAAGTATTTCTGTTCATTGTGGAATGTGGGGATGCTCTGGTGAACACAGCATCACTGTCACAGTGGTTAGGAATGGGAAAAGTGGTGGGAGGGAGGCATGGTCCCTTCCCTCTCTGGCTCCCAGCCCAATCGAATAAGGATGTGTAAGCACATGGGGGAGAGGAGCACACAGCTGGGGGGGCTCCTTCCTGCCTAACAATCCTCAGTCACTCCTGGGAACAGTCAGACTTACATCAGCCTTTTTCTCCTTTCTTTCCAGGGGCTGCCTATTGCCAGTTCATGGACATGCTCTTTCCAGGCTGCATTAGTTTGAAGAAAGTAAAATTTCAAGCAAAGTTGGAGCATGAGTATATTCACAATTTTAAACTTCTGCAAGCATCGTTTAAGCGAATGAATGTTGATAAGGTAGGAAACTAACTTCTACCTCCATAAAATGCGTGATCTTTCCTAAAAATTGGTTTTTGTGCCAAAATGCAAAAATCCGAAGGCGTATTCCTTAATATGGTCAAAGTAGTTTGGGGTCTGTACCTAGCATAAAGCATCAACCCTCTCTTCCTATATTTGTGTGAGGCTTTTATTTAAGGAAATTTCTAAACTTAACAGCCATTAGATTAAACACTAGAGGTAATTACAGAGGTTCAAATGTTGCTGTTCTGTTTTAGCATTGCAGGAGAGAAATTTTTGTTTGCCAGATGCCACCGTGGTTCTTTGTGTATTTTGTTCCTTTGGGGAAAAAAGGGCAGGTTACAGTGGAAATGGCATGGGTTTGTATCCCATGTCCAAGATTGGAGCAGGTTACTTGAATTCTTTGAGTTACCCACCTATACAGTGAGACCATAACCCCTTTCCCATAGTAATGATGTGAAAGTGAGGGAATGTGTATCAAAATGTTGAGCATAGTGTATACACTCAAATTCTCAGTCTCCGTAAACTGCCTTCCCCCCGCCCCTTAAATGTTAGAATTTTGTCCCAGTGTGGTACAAATGAAGTAGACTAGAGTCCTTTCTTCTCCCTTAAAGGACTGTCACTGAAGTCCACTCAGTCTCTGCATGGTTCCTATTACTCAAATACATATTTAATCCATATTCTTTACCATGGCTGTATATCTTACAGGGAATAGGTTTGGGAAGAAATGAATTTTGAGTAAGGGGAAAGAGAAAAAGCAGAGGGGAGGAACGGATAACTTTGCATCAATAGTAGCAATAAGTAGGCTACATGGAAATGAAAATTTTAAATAGTGTTTTATAAGAGACAGGTTAAAGGAAAAGAGAAAAGTTTGCTAAACTGCACACATTTTAATGCAACTATTATCTTCCTAAATGAAAGCAATCTTACCAAAATATTAAAATCTTGCCTTCTTATTTTCTCAGAACTTTTATTTCAAATTAACCCCTTAACAGTTCAGCCTTTTTGGAGTCCTTTCAACTTTGTCCTTTGCTGTGGTTAATTTCCAGTTAGCTCCTTCTGTAATATTCAAAATCAGAGCTGTATAGGTTCTCCTTACTTATTAACAGCATTATTTCCCTATCCATTTCTGTATCTTTTCTCTATACATGCTTCTAGATCAAAAAGAAAAAAACCACTCATAACTTGCTATGTAACAGATTAGGGGCATCCATATGTCCGTGGAAGTGTATACATAGAGAGGAGATGAGCCATTGTTGAAGAATGTTTAGGATAAAATTCTTGTAGTGAAGGGAGCTTGGCCTCAATCACCTTTGTTGGCCTCTCTAACGTAATATGCTATGATTCCCCCAAGGATCCTTGGATAGACAGTGGTCCCTGTGTGTGTTTGTCAGAGCAGGACAGCAGGGGAAAGCATCTGTGTAAAGATTTGCTTGCCACCCGAGATTTTGAGCTTAGGCCCCATTTTGGGAGCTTAGGTCCCATTTTGATGGGAAATGTGAAATTAACAGAAGTAAGTGCTTACTGTCAATGGTTAATGTAGCACCATCATCTAAAACTGTTTCTAAATTTTCACATTTGGCAGAAAACAAAAGAAAGTAGCATGTTAATTAAAGGGCCTTATGCTCTAGGAAGGCACTTAAAAATCAGTGTCAGCATAAACAAAAGTTATACATATGAAGACATGAAAATATTTAATAAAACAAAAAGTCAAATATTAAGTGCATGTGTGGAAGGAATTCTTCCCTGTGGGTGGACTTCAGTGAAATTTGGGAAGAGAGAGGGATCCACACCCAAGTCTCCCTCCCTGGAAGAGTCTTCATGAAAGGGTGGACTGCAGTGAAATTTGGGAGGAGTCTTCATGAAAAATGTAGTCTCCTCCCAAAGTTTGTTTCTCTTTATTTTGCTCTATTCTTGAGTTCATTTCAATTTTAGCTTTATCAAAAACATTTTTAAAAAATGTACTTACTGCTGGGACACCTGGGTGGCTCAGTCAGTTGAATGTCCGACTCTTGATTTCGGTTCAGGTAATGATCCCAGGGTCATGGGAATCAAGCCCCTTGTCAGGATCCGCGCTGACAGCTCAGAACCTGCTTAGGATTCTCTTTTTCTGTTTGCCCCTCCCTGACTTTCTCCTGCTGTGCACGTGCACTAAACTTTAAAATAAAAAACATATTAAAAAACATTTTAAAAATGTACTGCTAATGATTTAGTTTAATGGCTTGCCTAAAATGCTTCAGTTGGTGTTTTTTCTTCAAGTGGTCATTGATAGAGGTTGTTCTCTATTTTTTAAGTGGTTCTGATGATCCATTTTAGGGTGTCAGAGGTATCTGGTTCCAGAGATGGCAAAGCCTTGCTGAGAGGTTAATTTATATGGCTTCTGCTCATATTAGTCAGTGAAGCTGTGCCCTTTCAACCCTAGGTTTGTGTCTGAATTGTGTGCACATCATCTGACTCACTCCCTAGCTTTGTAACTCCCATGGCCTACATTCAGCTAGGATTCCGACTCAAAGATGAGGAAGTCAGAATCTGGTAATGGCACAATTTGCATAACTAAGTCCTTTTCCATTTTCCTTCAAAAATAGCTGCCCACTGAAGTAAAGCTAATGAGTCACCCCACATTTCTTCCTGTCATAATTCTGAAAGTTCTCGTGTGACCTCTAAAGGGGGGGGTACCCATTTGCTGTCTAGGATGCCAGTAGAAAGGGTTACTCTATGAAAAGCTGAGATTTGTCTCAGAAGTGGAGGTGAATACAGAGTACCTCCTCCTCCAGAATGCCTTCAGTGCCTCCCCTAGCCAGACCCCATTTCTGTCCCTGTGCACTCCCGTGGACATTAGCCGTGTTCCTGTGCAGCCTGTGAACTCCTAGGCTCTGTATTGCAGGCAGTTGTTTATAATGCTTGTCTCTCTACATTGTAAACAAACAAAACAGGAAAATTTGTGTTGCTTCTTACAAACCGTTAGATATGTGCATGTTTGGATTGATTTGAGTCTTAATTCATTCACACCCTCTGGTAGCTATAATCCTTACAGGAGTTTATTCCAGCATGGCAGGAGCAGGTGTTAGAAAGAAATGCTGAAGGGGCACCTAGGTGGCTCAGTCAGTTAAATGTCTGACTCTTGGTTTCTGCTCAGGTCATGATGTCCTGGTTCGTGGGCTTGAGCTGTATCGGGCTCTGCACTGACAGTGCAGAGTCTGCTTGGAATTCTCTCTTCCTTTCCCTCTCTGCCCCTTCCCTGCTGGCCCGATCTCTCTAAGAATAAACAAATAAACATTTTTTAAAAAAGAAATATGGAAAGCCCATCAATCTTGAACTGGCACAACATCCCAGGCCCATTTTTGCATGGAGATGCTTGTGTAATCAAATACATTCTGAAGAGAATCAGCCCCTCTTGACAGCTAAGGTACTTTTTGTTTCATCTCATTTGTTCAGAGGTGTGAAATAATTCAGAAGAACACCTACAGCATTTTATTTTAATTTTGCTTGCATATGATGAAAAAAAATAGGTGAATTCTAGAATACAGCTGGCCAAGAAGCTGAGGGGGAGACCAGTAAATAATCCCTGACCCGTAGAAAATAGTTTATAGGAAATGCTTCAGTTGTGCCAAATACTCATAAACGGGTTCACGACTCACATGGCGATTTTATATTGCAGGTGATCCCAGTGGAGAAGCTGGTGAAGGGGCGTTTCCAGGACAACCTGGATTTCATTCAATGGTTTAAGAAATTCTATGATGCTAACTACGATGGGAAGGAGTATGATCCTGTAGAAGCGCGGCAAGGGCAAGATGCGATCCCTCCCCCCGACCCTGGTGAACAGATCTTCAACCTGCCAAAAAAGTCTCATCACGCAAACTCCCCCACCGCAGGTATGGGAACAGTGAAATCGTATAGTTGCTTGCATTTTGGAAAGTGGCTCAGGCTCTTGTGTGCTTTCCTGTGTTTGATTCTTCCCAGCAGTCAATCTCTTTAGGCCTCTGGATGATTTTTATTGTTGTCTATTTGACCACATTTATCTTCATAGCAGGGCCTTATCTGTAATAAGTCTAATGATCATGATTTAATCTCTTAAAAAGGCAGAGTTACTCACTTTGTATCATTGAAGCTATATGTTAAAATAATACTCCAGGGATAGGTTTCATTTTCTTGGTACTTTTTTCTGAAATATGTCAAGTCTGTTTAGATTTCAGCTGAAGTAGTTTTACTGCCTAATTGCTGGCCATACAAACCAGAATATGAACCAATTTTGCTTTTAAATATGAATAATCCTCTACATCCTTCAAAGAAAAGTCATTGAAATATGCATCCTATTTCCTGTATGGTCAGTGCCAATATTTACGTGATAATATTCAGCAAGACCTCCTTTGTATAGCTTGGTCCAAAAGTGAAGTCATTGAGGTTGAATACCTAGAACTTTAAAATTTGTTAAACTTTGTGGATAAAAACCTTTTAAAACTACAAACATCCTTCCATAAAACACAGACTTTATCAAGCAGGAGGGTATTCTTTAAAACTGCAGTCATTATTACAAACACCAGTTGTGGTACTGGACAGTCAAACAGTGAGATCGTCAGAAAACGATTTGTTCCATTCTGAAAACCAGTGTTCACACTTGTTTAAATCAATAACATTAATTTTGTAAATGACACAAATTCCCTATTTATGCCCAACTTCCAATTAGAATGGATAGGAGATGGTTATAACAATACTAATGCTAAACAACACTAGCATGTTGTGTAGACTATCAGTATACATTTGTGAGTCTTCCATATGTTCATGTAATTGAAGCCGGAAGTAAGCTCTCAGTTGGAAGAGGAGAGACTGACGTGAAGAACTGTAACATTTAATGTTTGGGCAGAAAAGCAAGGGTTCACACAAGAATCAGGGAAGGTGCCAGAAAGATTAAAGGAAGTGATGGAATAACATGTCAAAGAAGCAGAAGGAAAGGAACACAGTGGCCAACAATGTCTGAACCTGTGGAAGGGAGTCCAGTAAAATGAGGCCTGGACGAGCCCATTGAATTTCTCACCTTAGGGGTCACTCAGTGCAATGATGGCACCCAGAATGGGGAGAGGAATTGGAGGAAGGAAATTAAGATAGCATAAAAGTCTAGCTCTGAAGCCATAGAATGAATGAAATTATATAAAATAAGCTAAGGAATAAGGAGCAAGAGGAAAAAGAGGAAGCTAAGAAAAAGATACAAACATCAGGGAAAAAACTAGGAAAGCTCAGCATCAGAGAATGAACAGTAGGAAATTTCTAGAAAGAGGGGTCACCAGCAGTGCTGAATATTAATTGTAGAGAGTTCAAAGAGGATGAAGCCTGAAAATAGGCCAAAGATAATGGACTCCTGGGAGGTGATGAACAATCCTTTAGAGAACTGGTCTGTTAAAGTGCTGAATGCATACGCCTAGATCACAGAGACCAGGCGAGGGCGTGACCTGACAAGTGCGAAAGTCCTGCAGTGAGAGGGGATCCCACCTTCACCAAATTTGTCAGGAAAAAAGTTGAGGAAAAACATTTAGTTGTGGGGGAAAGCAGACAGCATCGAGAAGTGAGATTGGAAGGCGAATGGTAGTGTCCTTGATCTGTTTTTGTTTGCTTCTAGGACAAGGCACAGTGAGCAAGTTTGTAAGGTGGGAGAAAGGTCCCTGGAGGAGAATTAGTTGATGATAGGAAAAAGGAGGGGAAACTTGTGGAGCAGGACCCTGATGCTGGAGGAAGAAAATAAGGTCAAGAGTGTTGATAAAGATTTAGAGAGGCAGGGGAATGTTTTGTTTTGTTATTTTATTTTATTTTATTTTATTTTATTTTATTTTATTTTATTTTATTTTATTTTATTTTATTTTTATTTTTATTTTTATTTATTTTATTTTATTTTATTTTATTTTATTTTATACAATCAGAAGTGCTGGGGAGAGGTTGGGTAAAAGGCCACAAGGAGTTTGGGGAACAAAAAATTATAGCAGTTCAAATTGGGCTTTAAGTGTGGTCAGAAACTTGGATCAGTGTAGAGATGGGGTAGAAGAGGGGTGTGTTTTGTCCGGATCAGGGGTTTTGGTGGGCAGCTAGAGTTAGGAAGACATGGGGGGAGAGGCGAGACCCATGGTAGCTGGCATTTCTGGTCTTGGGGTCTTTTCCTATAGCTGTTATTGATGTACAGATTCATCTTAAAACTCAGCTGCCACTTTTTTTCTTCAAGTGTTTAGTAGTGAAATTGAACAGGCCTCAGAAGTACATTTTTGTTCTACAATCACAGTGTGTCCTTGAATCTGCACCACTGCCCACGGTGCTGCTTTGGCCTCGTTTTCTAGCACTTCCTCCATTGGTCTTTCACAGAAGCCACAGAGAAACGTGTGCCATTTTGATAGAATGTCTGTGAACCTGGAAGAGAAACAGATTTCTTCCAGAGCTTAACCTCTTGGGTGACAGAGCTCAGAAAACACATTAAAGTCAACAGGTAATAAATAGGGTTTTTACTTTTTTTTTTTTTTTTTTAATAAATGAGGTTCTTAATGTTCCAGGAGGCAGTAGTTCTTTTAAGATTCATGTTCCTGGGGTGCCTGGGTGGCTCAGTCAGTTAAGCATCCAACTTCGGCTCAAGTCATGATCTCATGGCTCATGAGTTTGAGCCCTGTGTCGGGCTCTGTACTAACAGTGCAGAGCCTGGAGCCTGCTTCCGATTCTGTGTCTCCCTCTCTCTCTGCCCCTCCCCCGCTTGTCCTCTGTCTCTCAAAAATAAACAATTTTTAAAAAAAGATTCATGTTCCTGTTACCTTGACCATGTTCATTCACCTCATTGGTCTTAATCAGGGAGAAAGGATATTTTCAAAAGTCAAACGAGTCATACCCTTTTTAATAAAATAGGTTCTGTCTCTTGGACATTGTGGGTGGAAAAACTATACTGTGGAAAAAATTATAGCAAGGTGTACGTCGCATGTAGAACACTGTTTTAAAAGCTATAATAGGTGAAAGACTCCTATAAATACAATGAGACCTCATTTTTCTCAAGGTCCAGTATCCAGCTCTTGGGAATACAGCCAAGAAAATATAAGCCAAAATGTCTTCTAAAATCTGTGATACAAAAGTGTAATTCTAACAAACATAGGGATATGGTTTCTCAGCACATAACTTATTAGGGCAAGGAGTAGACTGATCGCAATAGAAAGTACAAGCATCAGTACAAGAAGAGCCAAAAAAAACTTCAGAAAACCTTACTAAACAGCCCATCAGCCTGAATGCTTTACTAGACGATCAGATAGCTCCATGCCTCTCCTTATCCCTCAGGATCACTAGGACACCAGCCTACACTAATTGATCCACTCAGCGTTCCCTTCTAATACTTAAGATTCTGTTTATAATCATCTCCCCCATGAACTATTTACAGTCTTTAAACTGGTCACCTGCCTCTGGTCTGAAGCCATTCAAAGCCATTCTCTTCACAAGTCTGATTTTGTCTACCCAAAATTTAAGTGCTTAATGATGAGGTGAGGGTCAGCTCTCTGGGAATTCTCAGATGGATAGCACAGTTACCCAACAGTGATGTCCTATCAGTAATTTCTTTTTTTTATTTTTAATTTTTTTTCTATGTTTATTTTTGAGAGACCGAGTATGAGTGGGTGAAGGGCAGAGAGAGAGGGAGAGAGAGAGAGAGAGAGAGAGAGAGACAGAATCTGAAGCAGGCTCCAGGCTCTGAGCTGTCAGCACAGAGCCCAATACAGGGCTCAAACCCACAAACTGTGACATCATGACCTGAGCCGAAGTTGGACGCTTAGCTGAGTGAGCTACCCAGGTGCCCAATTAATTTTTTTTTCCATGTTTGTTTATTTTTTTTGAGAGAGAGAGACCATGAGTGAGAGAGGGGCAGAGAAAGAGGGGGACAGAGGATTCAAAGCAGGCTCTCGGCTGAGAGCAGAGAGCCTGATGTGGGGCTTGAACTCAAGAACCATGAAATCATGACCTGAGCCAAAGTCAGAGGCTTAACTGACTGAGCCATCCAGGCGCCCTCCACCTCTAAGCCTTGTCATTTCTCAACCATCTGCATTAGTAGAAACAAGCAATGGCTGGTAGAACTGAAAGCAAGAGATGGTCTTTATTTTTTCATTTGGCCATGGAATACTTGATTGATTTTGCAGTGCATTTCTCTCTCCCCAAATATTTCTGTAGGCTAATAACAAATTAACTTGCGTGTCCTGACTATGATACATTAAGAGCAGCGATAAGTGGCAAAGGGCCTGTATTAGAGTGGAAATGTGATCCTGGAATGGATTCTCCACTTAAGAAAGTACTGTCTACATTGGCAAAATAATAACAACAATAATAATAATAATAATAATAATAATGTTTTTCATCACACAGACTACTTCTGTAGGCCTGCACCATGGGTTGTTTGCTTTTTTATAAACTAGATACACTCCACATTCTTGGTGCATTCAGTTATCATGAGAATGTACCAGATTTTTCTGCCATTTCAGTACAGATCCAAAATGTCGTCGTGTAGATTCCGAGAAGCCATAGAGCCCATCGGTGTCAGTGCGGTTGGGTGACTTACCTGGACTGAAACAAGCTTCAGTGTAAGCAGAGGCTGTCACATAAGGGTGAATGGCTGCCTGGCAAGTCTGCCATCTGCGTTCTGAAGCATTGCATCTCTAGTTGCTTTTGATCTACCAATGAAGCGCATGTATTAAAATATCTGTTTCCTGGGGGGTGGGAGGGAAGGGAGGGTGGGTGATGGGTATTGAGGAGGG